CCTCAGTGCACAGCATACGGGGGCAGGTTCAAAATGTAACACTGAATTGAATAATATCATCAGAATATTAATTTCTCTTGCCAATGCTGGTTCACGGCGGTGCCGAGGCCTCATGATTTAACTCTTGCGTCGCCCATTCTCCGAAAGAGGGGGCCGGCTGCAGGGGGCGAAGCCCTTGTATGTGTATATCTATATACACATATACAAACACATATAACATAGTTGAACATTTATAAACATATATATATATATATATATATATATATATATACATGTATAAATCATATGTATATATAAACATATATATACATATACATATATATACACACATAGCATACCCTAGAACCGAGCGCGCGCTTCGTGCGCGTAGGTTCTACCAAGCTCGACTTGCAGTCTAAAGTAATCGGTAGTGGAGGACATCGTGTCGAACGGGTCGTGCCCCTCAGGGAGCTCCACCTGCGGCCCCAGAGACGGACTTGCCTACCATTCTCCCGCCCTTGCCAGCTCACCCCCCACAGGGATCGCGCCCCACAGGGAGCTCCACCTGCGTGCTCAGAGACAAGATTCACATAGTGGCACGCCCCTCGCGCGAATCGCTCCCCGCAAATAGCTGCACTTGCGACACCAGTGTAGCTTCATAGCGTCACCCCGCTCACTTCGGCACACCCCTCACACGGATCGTGACCCGCAAGGAGATCCACGGCTGGCCCCGTAGACAAGGTTCGCATCCCGCCCACCCGTCTACTTCTGCACACCTATCACACGGATCGTGGCCCAAAGGGATCTCCACCTACGGCCCGAAAGGCAAGGTTCGCACTGCGCCCCCCCTGGCCATTGCGGCCAACCCCATCATACGGACCTAAAGGCCCAGAGACAAGGTTCGTACGGCGCTCCCCCGCCCAAGTCGGCAGACCCGTCTCGCGAACCATGCCCCAGAAGGAGCTCAACCTAACCATGGCACCAAATGGGCAGCTTCGCATGGCGTCCCCCCCGCAATTTCGGAACATGCCTCGCACGGGTCATGCCTGAAGGAGGCCCACCTGTGGCCTCGGTGGGGGCGTCTGCGCGGGGACATCCGAATTATTCGGCACACCCTTCTCGCGGCTCGTGTTCTACAGAAAACTCAAGAATTCAGCACACCCGTGCACGCGTTCTCCGCAGCAGCCATCTTTCCGAATTTTCCTGCGGCGCGCAATGTATGAAGAGAGACCCGCGCCCTGCGCTACACATGGCTGCATAGGGACGGGTCCGTCGCCAAAGCAATTGCTCGCTTGTATATGGCCTTCGGGCCATACCGCTAATGTACCTGAGTTCTGGGCCAGAGGACCATTGGGTACCTGGAATTCCGGATCTCTTGGCATGCTTCTCGGGCGCCTCGTGGAGCGAGTGGCCTCGTGTGGGCCATGTGGGGGCCTCTTGGGGTATCTTTTGGGGTCCTTGAGGGCCTCGTAGGTGCCTGCTGCGGCCTCGGGGGCCCACTCGTGGCGGAGAACTAGAAATGCCAGTTGAAGCTTCCCCTCTTTTGGACACTTCTTGGAACCCTCTTGGGTCGTTTTGGGCGCCTCTTGGACCGTCTTGGAGCTCTTCCTGGAGCGCTCCTTGGAAGGCATCTTGGAGGCCTCAAAGGGCGCCTTCGAGGCGGACAATCAGGGCTTAGTTCTGCGGTAACTTCGAGCCGTCATTGGTCGTGTTCGCGGTCTGGAAGCGCCATTTCTGGCGACCCAGGGCCGTCTTCGGGCGATCTTAGAGGGCCCCCGGCGCCCCGGCAAGGCCCCAAAGGACCCCTGGTCCCGCGAAGCACTGTTGAGGCACGGGCCCCGGTCGCCCGGGCCTAGTGCCCAGGCACATACATGTACACATATAGACAGGTGAATCAACGAATTACTTGATACGTAAGTTACTACATGCATGCATTCATCTATGCATACACTCATACATGCATACATGCAGAAGAAAACTCATACTTGCAGACTTGCATGTTTGTACATTTTCATACATACATACATGCATATGTGCATACAGACACACAAGCATACACTCATACATGCATATATGCATACAGGTACACAGGTATACATATATATATATATATACATGCATACCCACGTGCATATACATATATATATACATATATATATGTATATGCATATACATGCATGCATGCATACATGCGTGCATATTTATACACACCTACATAGTTTCATACATCTATACATGCATACAACCATGCCTACATTTATGCCTGCATAACTACATACATGCACACATGCACACATACATACATACATGCATACAGGCATATATACAGACACACCTGCGAACACACATGCATACCTACATACATACATACAGACGTGCACACATAAACACCATTCATACATGAACAAGTTTATGAATAGTTATATGAGCGCATCCACACATAAATCTATATATAAGACAATTATTGTATCAGAGTGAGGGGGGGGGGGGGGGGCGAACGGTCATTCATTGTCCATGGGTACGTGGCTGAAGTTGTGATCCGTATTGAAGATTCTGCTTGTTGCGTTATTGTTTCTTCGTTTGTTGTCGTTGTCCCACCCGCGACCCACCCGCGACCCACCCGCGACAAACCCCGCGACTCACCCCGCGACCCACCCCGCGACCCACCCCGCGACCCAACCGCGACACAACCCGCGACCCACCCGCGACCCACCCCGCGACCCACATGCGACACACCCGCGACCCACCCCGCGACCCACCCCGCGAACCACCCGCGACTCAACCCGCGACCCATCCGCGACCCACCACGACTGAACCGCGACACACTTGCGACCCACCCACGACCCACCCCGCGACCCACTTGCGACCCACACGCGACCCACCCGCGACCCAACAACGACCCACCCGCGACCCACCCGCGACCCATGTGCGACCCACCCGCGACCTACCCATCTTGGTTTAACAGAAAATTGGCGCCTGCGGCGGGCTCGTTGTATAAGTTGTAAAACTTTGGCCCCTGCGGCGGGCTTCTCCAGAGTCTCGCAGACTGCCGACGTCCCCACCGCCACCATCACTCTGATCCGCATCAGCGGGATGCTACGGTATACATACATATATAAACATATATATGTACATACATATATATAATTATAATTATATATGTAATATATCTACATATCCCTTCCACGGAGGGCTCTCCAGAGCAACTGGAAGACACTGCTGGAGCACCTCGTTCTCCGATGCCCGTGTGGGAGCCCTCGTGAAGGCTTCTGTGAGCCTCTGGTGGGCGCTCCGGGGCCGTTTCGGAACCCTGCGGGCCTTCTTTTCTGCCCTCTTGGCGTGCCCAGGCTCAATTGGAGAGCTGCCTGCAGCGCTCTCAGTCGCTCTTGGGCGCCTCTTGGGCCGGTTAGGTGCCGCTTTGGAGCGCGTTGGGGCCGTCGTGCACGTCTCGTGTGCCGTATCCGATCGTCGGGAAGCGGGGCAGGCGACCACTGGAAAATCAATGAAACACGGATGGAAAATCAATGATGTTTGCCTACTGGGGCTGCCTCGGTAGGCAATTAATAGCCGTCTTGGGCTATCTTGGATCCCTCGTGGGCCGCACCGGAACGATGGCAGGCGTGCTGGGGCCGCTTTGGAGCTCTGTGGGCCTCCTTGAGGACCCTTGTGGCGTGCCTAAGCTCTGATGGGGAGCAACCTTCAGCCCGCTTGGGCGATTCTGGGAGCCTCGTGGGCCGTCTTGGCGCCCGCTTGGGGTGTCTTGGAGCCCTATTGGGCGCCTCTTTTGCCGTCTCCGCGCATCGCGCAGTGGAGCAGGCGATCACAGGAGAATCCTTGGAAAACCAACGCGAATTCCATGATTTTCGCCCCTGGAGCCTGTCTCGGAGATGAGCTTGAAGCCCTCTTGGTGCGCCTCGGATACTACCTGTCCGAGCTCATTTGGGGCGCCGCCCGGAGCCGTCTGGGGCGATGTTGGGCGCCTCTCGTGCCGTCTTGGTGCCCTCTTGACCCTCTTGGGCGCCTCTTGTGCCGTCTCTGGGCGTCGGGCAGCGGAGCAGGCGACCACACCAGAACCCGTGGAAAGGGGCCTCTCTCGGGGATCAGCTGGAAGCTCTCTCGGGGCGTCTTGGAGGCCATGTGAGCCGTCTCGAAGCAATGGTCGGCGTGCTGGGCGCGCTGTGGAGCTTCCTGGCTCCCTTGAGGACCCCCTTCGGTGCCCTCAGGGCCCCCATGAGCGCTCCTTTTGGCGGGCGGAGGCCCGTTGGGCCCCCCATGCCACACAGAGGCCCTGGCTTGCCCGCCCCCCCGAGGCTTACTCGTGTGTGTATATATATATACACACGCACCTGGTTATACATATATATATATATATCACTATATATAAAATTATGTGTATATGTGGATGGATGGATGGATGGATGAATGGATGGATGGATGGATGGATGGATGGATGGATGGATGGATAGATGGATGGATGGATGGATTGATGGATGGATGGATGTGTATGCCTGTGTATGTATGTGTGTATGTGTGTATGTGTGTATGTGTGTGTGTGTGTATGTGTGTATGTGTGTATGTGTGTATTTGTGTATGTAGGTATGTAGGTATGTAGGTATGTAGGTATGTAGATAGGTAGGTAGGTAGGTAGGTAGGTAAGTAGGTAGGTAGGTAGGTAGGTAGGTAGGTCGGTAGGTAGGTAGGTAGGTATAGATGTATGCATGTATGTATGTATGTGTGTATGTATGTATGTGTATGTGTGTATGTATGTATGTATGCATGTATGTATGTATGTATGTATGCATGTATGTATGTATGTATTTATGTATGTATGTATGTAGATATAGATGCGTAGGTGCATATAACGTGTGCGTATATATATATGTATGAGAAACTGGGTGTACAACAAACTATATATATAGAGAGAGAGAGAGAACAACAACAATAACAGATAACGAGAAACAACCATTCGTGCGCGTACGCTCGCGTCGGTGTATGCGCATGCGCCGGCATCGGCACAGGAGGAGGACTTCGACCCGTCAGAGGGGATAGGGCAGTGATTTTTCCTGCAGCGTCACCCCGTCGTTTAAATAAGGGGTTCCACAACATCACACGAACGCTGCGACATGAGGTGAGACGTCCCGCACCCACAAGCCACCCAGCCCCCGTGCTCTGGCGAAAATCGCGGCGGAACTTGGGTCTCGAGCGCACGCATGGCGCCAAGGTCACCCAAAGAACATGCCGTCCTCGGCAGCCCGCCCCGCAACTCTCATCCGCGTGCGCTGGTTGGCCTCTGCATGCTGCTCTTCGTTCCAGGCTGCCGCCCATCGCGTTCTTCCCCCCTCCATTTTTCCATCCATCTTTTTCTGTGCTGTGGTGTGTTGAGGAGGGGGCATGCGCTCGGAGGAGCTACATGCAGGAGTACGCTAAGTAGACCTAAAACCCTCAAGAGTTTGCAGTACGCAAGCCCGAGCACAGGCCCGTTGCTTCGGAGAGCAGCGCGGACGAGCTGCCCCAGATGGAGGTTGGGCAGAAAACGGGAGAGAGGGCGCACTGGCACGCGCTGGCAGGACACGCGCAGATTTAAGTCGGGCGTGTCCCCCTACAAGGGGGTTTTCAAAGAAAAATGAAAATACCCCAAAAATGCACCAAAAAATAATAATAATAAAAAAAATACTAGAAAAATAGTCCTCAGACTATGTTTGGATTATTTTTTGATTATGTTTTTGGGTATTTTGCATTTTTCGTCGGAAATCCCCCTGTAGGGAGACAGGCCCGACTTGAGCACAGATGCAGCGCCCAGTACAAGCGCGGAGACGGAGGGCACGCGGAGGGAGCAGGCGAGGCACGGCGAGGAGGCCTAGGACCGAAACCGATGGACCTGGACCCGCAAAAATGACGGCCGCGACGCCCTCTCGCGAACCGAAAACGGCCAAGTCCTCGATCGACGTGTCAGGGCAGGAGGTCGGTTCACCCCCGGTACAAGAGCGGAGACGGAGGGCACGCGGAGGGAGCAGGAGAGGCACGGCGAGGAGGCCAGCGTAGAACGACGACGACGATGACGACGTCCCCTACCCTACCTGCCCAGGGCGGCGCGCAGAGGCACGGCGAGGAGGGCGAGGGCGAGAGGGCACCGGCACACAGTCGCAACGCGTCCGACGAGACCCCGGGGCCTCGCCCGTGCGCTCGCCTCGGGCCTCGCCCGTGTGCGCTCCCACCAGCCCCTGGCCTCGCCTCGGGCCTCGCCCGCGTGCGCCTCCTCCCCCTCCTCCTCCCCCTCCTCCTCTCCCTCCTCCTCCCCCTCCTCCTCCTCCTTCTCCTCCTCCCCTCGCCCTCCTCCTCCTCCTCCTCCTCCTCCTCCCTCCTCCTCCTCCTCCTCCTCCTCCTCCTCCTCCTCCTCCTCCTCCTCCTCCTCCTCCTCCTCCTCCTCCTCCTCCTCCTCCTCCTCCTCTCCTCCTCCTCCTCCTCCTCCTCCTCCTCCGCCTCCTCTTCTTCCTCCTCCTCCTCCTCCTCCTCCTCCTCCTCCTCCTCCTCCTCCTCCTCCTCCTCCAGGACGGGGCTCTCGCGCCAGGCCCTGGGGTCTCCTGGCACGCCCGCGGGAGCCCGAACTCGTCGTCGGAAGCCGGGTCTCCCTCCCTCTCTCCTTCCCTTTGCCCCTTCAGCCGCTCGTGCAGAACCAAACCGCCCCCCCGGTGGCTGGCGAACGTGGGCGCCGCACCGCCCAAGGGCGCACCGTGCGTGCGTATCTCTCCGGGGGGGGGCGCGGTGCACCTGGCATCGACGCCGGAGCCAGCACTGACCTCCTGCCAGACCACCCCAGCCCAACCCGAAAACACAAACTTGGCCCGAGTTTCGGGTTGGGGGGGGGGGTACGGGGACCGTGTGTTCTTTCGACGTTCCCCGATCCCCCCCCCACACTGGAGATGGGGGGCAGATTGAGGCCTTCGGGTTGGGTTGGGGTGGTGTGGTGGGTAATTAGTGAAGGACGGCGGCGGGGGCGGAGGAACTCGAGGAACAAAAGAGCGGAAAAGAGAGAGAGAGAGAGAACAAAACAAAGCAGCATCAAAGAGAGAGACAGAGAGAGGAACAAAGAGCGGAAGAGAGAGAGAGAGAGAGAACAAAAAGAGACGGCGTCAAACGGGAGAGGCGGGGAGAGGGAAGCATGCTGCCACAAGCGCGTCGGACATACGCACGCCCGTTGGGGCCCCAGCAAAACAAATCGCAGTGGTCGACGGCCAGGCCGTGCTTGGGGGGGGGTGCTGAAAGGCCCGTTCACTGAGCACACACCGAGCGGACTCGCAGGTTGAGCAGCCATCGCAGGACAGGCTCTGTCCCGCAGGCGGCCAGGAGGCTCGAACTGCCGCGGGCAAGCCAGCACCTCTGGAGCCAGGCCTGACCGTGGAACAGCAGTCACAGGAGCCGGCTTCTCTGATTTGCGATCCTGTCCGTGACCAGCCCCGCCCCCCCCCTCCCCTGTTCCCCTGGTCACGTCACGGTTCACGCTGGCGCCATTCAGAACTTAGCCATCCCAGAGCTTCCCCGACGGGCGCTGGCGCAAGTATTGACGTGACCGCCCCACCGCCCCCTCGCCCCCCCTCCAGTCACGCCCATGATCAGCAGGGGATTACAAGAACGGCCTCCACACGATAAAGGAAGTCTGCTGTAGGCAGGAGAACCCAAAATCGAATCGATAAGTCGGATCGGCGATCGAAATGAATCGCACCGGCGGAAGTCGGCAGCCGAGTCGGGAGAAGCCGAAGTATCGGCAGGTGTCGGCAGGCTGCTACGCCTCCGTGGAGGCATCGGAGCCCACGTCGGAACCCGAGGTCGAATCGGCTCGGAATCGGAGGCCACCGAGATCGGATCGAATCAAGCCGGAGGAATCGAGACGAGCCCTGGCTGCAGGGAGACTCGGGGCACGCTCTGCGTCGGCCCGTGGGGGCCCCGAGGCGCCTCGGCGCTCCTGCGGGCCCCCGGCGGCCCTCGAGGTTTGCGGGTCCCGGCGGCCCGCGAGGGGTGCCTCACACAGATCCACGCTGCACCCGCTGGCCTGTCGATGTCTTGTTTGATGTCGCGCTGTGTTGCTCCCATCGCGCTCGAGTGCCACATCCCAGAAATGATACCGAGCGCCCAGAACAGCCTCGAGCGAGCATCGCCTCCCAGGGCCCGACGCGCGAAAACCCTTCAGTGTCGGTGCTTCCTTGGTGCTCGAAAATATTTCTGGTGATCAAGGCTACAGGAAGGTGGAACATCATGAATGTAGTACTTCAAGTCCTGGGCTGGCCAGCGGTGTGGGTGGCGCCCGAAGCGTCTTTCCCAAATCAGGCATGGCCAGACGGCATAAGATGCTCCCAAGAAGCAGGAAGAAGGGCTCCAAGAGACAAACATGATTGATGCTTCCAGCGATGTTGAATGATTTTCGCTCTCTCGCCGCTTTCGAGCCCAAGACGGCCCGAAAGGCCCCCCAGACAGGCCCACGACAGCTCAGCAGTCCACCAAGAGGGCCCGGAGGTGGCCAAAAGAGGGCGAACACGGCCCGAGAGGCCCCTAAGACTGCCATGAAGCCCCAAAGAGGGCGCCAGGGGGGGAACCCGGGAGAGGCCAAAGAGGAGTAACTCGCATGCCCCCATGGAGCCCTCCCCCAAAAGATGGCCCCCCAGAGCCCCCACATGCCCCCAAAAGATGCCGGAGAGGCCCCCAAGAGGCGAACAAGAAGCCCCACAGGGCCCCGAGAAGCCCCTGGAAGCGTTGAGAAAACTCCAAGAGGTCGCCCCTCGGCCTTCACGATGCCCCCAAGAAGGCCCACAGAAACTGCGGAGGGAGAGGATGACGAATCAACAACAACCGCACGCAGGCAGCCCGACGGGAAGCGGCAAACAGCATACACGAAGTTGGCCGCACAGACTCTCCACTGGGGGCAGAGGAATGGCGCAAGTCTGCTAGAACAAGTATCACTGGGCCGACACATTGCCCCACGCGCCATGGCAAGTGATGAGGATTCGCGTGTCTCTGCGCACGTGCTGCCAAGAATCACACCTTCGCATTCAGCCTTCATAGCACCCTAACCATCCGTCGGCACCGTTTGGGCAACCAGGCGCGTGATCTCATACAGAGACCATCCTCGTAGCCACCCCCTGGCCAGGCCCAACGGTGCGGTTGATCAGCCCCCGGGCGCCTAGCACGCTGCAACGCGGCAGACTGCCAAGTGCTGCCTGGTACAGCTTCTGTGGAGAATTCTGGAAATCTCCTGCAGTGGAGGCCAGTCCACAAGAAATCTTCCACAAGAAACCCAACCCTGAGACCCCAGGGCTTCCATCTAATTTTCGGTGTGGGAATGGCACACACACACACTCCATCGCAGACCCATCGAAACCCAAGGAACCCCAGGGCACCCCGGAGGCAAGCAGGGTGGTCCTTGGCGTAGGGTCTTCACTGTAGGAGAACGGACAATGACAGAAGCATCAGAACGTGGAGGTCCGCGCGGTGTTCCTTGGCATGGGCCTCCGCTCCAGGGGCCCCGCCGGGCTCAAGGCACCACCGCCACCCACCACCCTCCCGAGAGGGCCCTGGGCACCCCGACGCCCCCCGGAGGCGCTCCCGAGGGCGCCCGCGACGCCCCGCGCGGGCCTCCGAGGCCTCCGAGATAGCCCGAAGGCCCAAGGCCGCCTCAAGGCGGACTCAAGGGCCTCAAACAGTCTCAAGAGACCGCCAGGGGGCCGGAGGTTCTCCACGGTACGTCCTCACACGCTCGCCAGAGGCTCTCTCCAGAGGCCCCAAGACCGTACATCCACTGCGTGCGTTGAATGTGTTCCGCATTCCACGCTCGTGGGTCGCAGATCGGCCCACTTGTGGCCTTCGAACGCCCGCTGAGAGCCCCAAGAAGGTTCAAGCTCCGGACAGCTCCAACAGAGCCCCGGGCTGGCCCAAGAGGACCTCGGGAAGGACCCAAAACTGCACAATACGGCCCGAAATATAACCCCAAAACAGCCACACGACGGCCCCGCGAAACCAAATAGACGGCCAAGAAACGGCGCAAGCAAAGAGGGCCCCAAGGGAGCCCCACAGGAGCCCAAGACAGCCCAAGACGACCCGAATAATCCCAGTGAGACTTCTTACGGGAGTGGAGACTAGAGAGGGATGGCGAGGCTTAGTTAGGTCTGCGTAAGGTCACTCCGCTGGACCCCCCAGCAGCCCTCGAGAGTGGCGACAATTTCGCTGTTCGCAGACCCCAGGGACGGCGAGGTCGAATGTGCATCTGCGTAAGGTGTCACTCCGCAGAACCCCCCAGCAGCCCTCGAAAGTGGCGACAGATTTGCAGATCGCGGCCCCCCAGGGATGGCGAGGTCCAGTTTAGGTCTGCGTAAGGCTTCACTCTGCCGGCCCCCCCCAGCTGCCCTCGAACGTGGCGACGGTTTCGCAGTCCGCAGCCTCGCAGCGAGCGCCCAGGCAGGACGGCAAGGTAAAGGCAGGGCAGCAAGCAGGTAGGGGAGGGAACAGGAGGAGTGGGGCAGAAGGAGGAGGTCGTGACCGCAGCGATCAATTCAAAGCGAGAACCCATGCGGCGCACATCTGCTGATCTCGACCTCGCCTTCTCGGGCCTTCAACCCTCACGATTCGATTCAAATAAAATGCTTGTTCTCCATACCCGATCGCGCATCTGATGATCTCAAAATCGCTGCCTGAAGCCCTCAACATTCACGATCATATGCAAATGTATTGTTTGTTTCTGCGCACTCTGGATCTAAACCCTTGACGATGGAAATCAGTGCCGCTCACGGTCCTTCGCTAGAAACTATGCGATGAACATCTGCTGATCTCAGCATCGCCCTCTCAAGACTTCAACCTTGACGATCCTATGCAAACGAGATGTTGTTCTGCCCACCCCGAGTGTTAAACCTTTGATGGTGGAGATCTGTGCCGCTCACGATCCTCTGGCCCAACCCACGGAGGTCCCCCCCCCCCTGAACGCTCTCTGGCGCAAAGGGGGGAGGGGGGGGTCCGAAACACCCACCCCCCTTTTCAAATGAGGGCGGGGGGTCCGAAGACCCGCCCCGCCTTGAAGGAAGAGGGGGGGGGTCTGCGAGCACCTCTCCGCATAAATTTCGCGGAGCGCTCCAAAACACCCCGACCAGGGATCCAATTCCGGCCCAGGTGTGGCACGTGTGTGTGTGTGTCAACGCCACACCCAGAACAGCCAATGATTTCCAGACTCGCGTGCTGTGCTGTTTCCCTGGGGCCCCGCGTTGAGCCTGGCCGTTCCACCTCAATGGTGGCCTTCACCCCTGCCAATCAAACATCTCGAAAACTCCCCGCCACGGCTCCGCTCCCGTCGCCAGAGCGCCGCGATGAGACGGAACATCACACGTGTTTCTTGTTAAGATGATTACGAAATGTTGCAAACAAACTGTATGGAACATCATACACTCTGTATATGACAACCAATCGTCTTGAAAGAACGCGTGATGTTCCACATCATCACATGGGCGATTACGGAAACCCTGAACCCACAAACGTTGTCATCTGATGGGGGCGCATCATTTGCCGCCATCCGCCGATCTTCCGCCGGCTTCCTCCATCTTCCGCCGGCTTCCGCCGGCGGAGGCGGCCTCGTTTCACTTATGCCGACCTTCCGCCGCCCTTCCGCCGCCTTCCGCCGAGGAAGAGATGACAGCTCCTTCTATCCTCGAAGGCAGGGCACCTTTTGGAACGCTCCAGACGTTTTTCTATGATATCCCCAGAGGGCCGCACCCAAAGTCCGACCGCTGGGCGCCGCTCTGCTGGTCTTTTCCCAGAGCTGCACTCCCGCCACCTCCCGCCGCCTAGCTCCGCCTCCGCTGGCAGAGAGCGCCGCCGTGCTAAGCTTCGGCGGAGCAAGAAGGCCCTGCGAGGTCCACGGCATCTTTCGGGCTGCCTCCCCGCGGGGGGCAGCCTCGGCCGAAGCCGGATGCACAGAGCCGTCCCGTGCGCCGCGTTGCTCCCTGACCGGTCCAGAGCTGGAGTCCTTCTTCCTCCTTCCTCCTCCTTCCTTCTTTTCGGCGGCGAGCGAGGTGGGGAAGTGAGAAGGAGGAGGCCTTCTCAGAAGGCGGCGTGGCTTCTCAGAAGCCCCTCGGCCTTCTGAGAAGTTTGATTTCTGCGTCCTCGGGGAATGCTTCGAACACTTCTCGGAGTTCTGAGCCTTCTGAGAAGGCGTGCCCCCTCTTACTTCCCCCCCGGGGCTGGCTGTCGAAAGTTGCCGTCAAGCACGCTCCCCACTGCAGATCGCTCGCTGTTCAATACGATCTACGATCCCCGCACACAATTCGAGTAGGGGATCGACTACAGAATTGATGTCCCCGAAAACTGTTTCCCTCGTCGCGTCAGACGTAGAGTGTTCGTATATCAAAGCTCAACACATTTCTCATGGCTTCGACGAACAAGTCCGTTTGGGGGTAAATCGACTATGCAGTCGATCCCCAACTCGAACACTTGTCTGAAGCCTGGGACATTCAGACATGGCAGAATTCTCCCTCGGCGTCCTCCGCGTCCCTGCTGCTCCGCGTTGCCCCGTGTCCGGTAGCCGCGTGTGGCGCGTCGCCGTATATGTCGTATCTGCGCCGGCGCCGCTGACAATTGAGCCATGCCAACCATGCGCACAACATGCTTGGAAACCTCGACGTCCGCGGCAGTGCAAATATCGTGTGGATGCACGCTGGACGCACCTGATATTGCCACGAACCCCGACCTTGGAGGACAAGTGGGCGTGACTTGCGAGGAAGGGATTAACAAAGAAGAGGATGCCTATAGGGCGCATAATGCTGATTCCCGTGTTGTCCGTTTGACGCTGTGCCGCATTCAGGCGCATTATGTTGGTTCCCGTGCTGTCCGTTTGATGCTGTACTACTTAGTCGGGGCGCTTCCGACCCTCTTGGAGCCGTGTTGGGCAGTCTTCGGGCCTTGGGGCGTCTCCGACCATCTCGGGGCTCTCTTGGGCCTGTCTTGGGGCCCTCTTAGGGGCCTCTGGGGGAGTCCTGGAAACTTCGTGGAGGCTTCTTGGGGCCTCTTGGGGCCTCTTGGGACCTCCTGGGGATTCTTTGGGTGGAGAGATCGTAATGTCGGTCCCTGCCCCCCCTTCTGGGGCATCTTAGGCTGTCTTGGGGGCGTCTTAGGCTGTCTTGGGGGCGTCTTCGACCGTCTGGGCGCCCTCCTGGGAGACTAGGTGCGGTCTCTCGAGCCGCCTTGGAGCGTTATGAAGCTGGAAAGCCGAAAACAGAGAAGAACTGCAAGAACTGGAAGAAAACAATGAGTTTGGACTCTTGGGGGTCTCTGGGGAGACCTGTTGGAGGACAAGTGGGCGTGACTTTCGAGCAAGAGAACAGCAAAGAAGAGGATGCCCATAGAGCGCGTGACGTTGATTTCCATGATGTCCGATTGGGGCTGTGACGCTTTGTCGGGGCGTCACCAGCCATCGTGGGGCTCTTCGAGGGGTATTGGGGCCGTCTTGGAGGCTTCTGGGGGGTTCCTGGAGAGCTTTTCGGGGCCTCTTGGAGGCCTCTTGGGGGCCTCCTGGGGGCCTCTTGGGGCCTCCTGGGGGTCTCTTCGGGCGGGGAGCCCGAAATGTCGGTGCCTGCCTCCTCTCTGGGGGCTCTCTTGGAGCTTTCCTGGGGCCTTCTGAGGCCGTCTTGGAGGCCGCTGGGGCTGTCTCGAGGGCGTCTTGGACCGTCCGGGCGCTGTCTTGGGGGCCTCTTAGGCCGTATTGGGTGGATCTTTGGGGTGTCCTGGGTCGTCTTCTAAAATCTAAGGAAAACCTAAGGAAAACCAATGAATCCTGACTCTTGGGGCTCTCCAGGGGAGACTCTTGGAGGCCTCCCAGACCATTTTCGGGACTCCCTGGGCCGTCTAGACCGCTCAGTCGGCGACGCGTGGCCCTCTCGGACCATCTTGCCGACCATCTTGAGACCGCCCGTGCCGCACGGAAGCGTGTCTGCCGAAATGGGGCCGTCTTCCGCCGTCTTCCGCCGGCTTCCGCCGGCGTTCCCCCCGTGGCCGGGGGGCGGTCCCGGGGGGTCCCCCCCCAGACCCCCCCAGGGGGACACTCAACGGGAACCCCTCCTCAAGGTCGGGGAATGAAAGTCTCAACCGCAATTTTCGGCTGTGGAGGCAACAACCAACTTCTAGGACGTCGGACGTGGCGTGTGAAAACACCTAGCTTACCAGACCAGAGACAGCCCTAGTCGCCATCGAACAAGATCCTCATTTTGGAGACTGCTTGCGGGCTTCTCTCCCCTTCTAAGCACTGCTAACACAAATACAAACTGATCCCACAGAAATGGAAGATGAAGGCGACAAGCGGTGGCAAATGCAAATCGACAAGCAGCGCACGCCTCCGGTGTCTGTCTATGGGCATGTTCTCCCTAGTGGAGCGGACCAGCTCGGAGTCGATCTCCACAACGGCGAGGCCCTTCGTTGTTCCCATGTTCACCAAAGTCCTCCCACGCTGCACGGGGTAAGATGTGGCCATTATCCTCCAGACTCTCTCCAATAAAAAGGAGGAGGGACACACAACTATATACACACAAACGCCAGGTTTCCCCATACTTTGCCATAATTTTCTGTGTTGTCGTCTTCCCCCCACCCCGCTTCCCTTTTTTCTATGTTGTCGTCTTCCCCCCCCCCGCTTCCCATTAGTTCCCGCATTTTCCTGGGAATCGACATATAAGTATGACTGTGTTTCTTCCCCTCCTGAGAAATGTGGTCAGCGGCGCGATTCCCTTATCGCGGGTGGCGACGTGTCTGCGGCAACGCAGCTCGACAACCTGGTCGCCGACGTCGCCGCAGCCCGCCTGGCATGAGCCTCGAGGAAGGCCTCCCGCCCGTCTCGGACAGCCCAAGGCATCTCATCCTTCTGATCAGACGCCATGGAGGAAGGAGTCCGCTGCGGTACCCCTGAGCGGCACGGATGAGGTGCGGCCAACAAGAGGGCCTGGTCGCTCATTGCCACCCCTCTTCGTGCGCCCTCTCTGGTGAGCCCGAATGACAAGGCAAGGACCTGATCGGCCCGCCTCATCCCCAGCGGTTGGGCGGTTGGTCTGTGGCCACTTCGATGACGGGCTGGTCGAGACCAACACCGCCGTTCAAACATCACTCCACTGTGAGGAGGGGCGTCATGGAGGGCAAGCGGGATGGAACCTTCACCACAGCACCTCGGTCTGCAAGAGCGGGCTCTCCGGTAGGCCAGCCCACCCTCCTCGGCTGCAGAACCGCTCAATGGGCAAGTCCCGTCTGCGGGCCCACTTGTTGCGGAGGCCCCGTTGCCACTGCTCGGCTTATGCTGCTCCCTTTGTACTTGGGGATCACATCCCAGGAATAGTTCCAAGCACTGCCGGGAACGATCAAAACAGTCTGCCCGACACGCCAGCGAAGTGTCGAACGAGTATCACCTCCCAGGGCCCGACACGTGCAAACCCTCCGGCTTCGGTACTTCCTCGGTGCTTAAAACTCTTTCTGGTGATCAGGGCGAGAGTAGGTTGGAGCAACATGATGCTCGGCCTGCCCGGGCCGGCTTCGACCCCTCCTCCTCGATCCTCGCGAGCCGGCCGTGGCAGTCGCCCCTCTTCGAGCGCGTGCCCCAGGCCTTTCGTGGGGGGGGTCCCTTCTCGCTCGCCAGCGGAAGCGGGCGGAGGGGGATCGAGGATCAAGGATAGAGGAGGCTTCCCTCTTGGAGGAGGAGGAGGAGGAGGAGGAGAAGGAGGAAGAGGAGGAGGAGGAGGAAAAGGAGGAGGAGGAGGAGGAGGAGAAGAAGGAGGAGGAGGAGGAGGAACGGGGGGGAGGAGGAGGGGGAGGAGGAGGAGTGGGGGTGTCACGCTTTCCACAGCAGAACTATCGAGACCCAAGAAACCTGGGGCACCCTGGAGGCATGCAGGGTGCTTCTTGGCATGGGTTCCCGCTGTACGGTCGAAGCATGGCCACAAGAACTTGGGTCGGGAATTCACTACCTACCCGACCACCCCAACCGAACCCGAAGACCCGAACTTCGGGTTTGGGGGGGAGAACGGTACGGGTGCCATTCGTGTTTTTCGATGTTCCCCTACCCCCCCCACTGGAAATGCAAGAGAGCCCCACAATCGAATCGATGAGCCGGACCGGCAACCGAAGTGAACCGCATCGGCAGAGATCGGCAGCCGGGTCGGGAGAAGTCGAGAGTCGGCGGCAGTCGGCAGAGCAACAAGGCCCCCTACTGAGACACGTCGGCGAGAGCGCGCCCACAGCGCCGGCGCAAGGAGGGTGGGGTCCCCCCTCAGCTACCCCCCCCCCTCCCCTCCCTTCCACCTCCCCTGCTGGAAGCCCCTCCCCCCCCCCTCCCTCCCTTTTTCGCCTCCCCCCTGAAGCTCCCCCCCCCCCTCCCCCCTGTTCGTCACTCCACAATTGCTCAATATGAAAATACTCTCCCTCTTCCCCTGATGGCGTCTGGGTGATGGCCGCGCATTCTCCGCGTACTGTTTTTTCCCAACCATCCTGTGGTGTTGGGTCCTCGTTTTGAAGAAACGGTCCCCGCGTTCCTTCTTCCTCCTTGTCCTCGCCCTCCTCCCTCCTGCGTTCGCATGCCTCCCCACCACCCATTTCGGCACACCCCTCACACGTTTCGTGGCCCCATAGGCAGCTCCACCGAAGGCCCCAGTGGCTGCGTTCGCATGCCTCCCCACCACCCATTTCGGCACACCCCTCACACGTTTCGTGGCCCCATAGGGAGCTCCACCGAAGGCCCCAGTGGCTGCGTTCGCATGCCTCCCCACCACCCATTTCGGCACACCCCTCACACGTTTCGTGGCCCCATAGGGAGCTCCACCGAAGGCCCCAGTGGCTGCGTTCGCATGCCTCCCCACCACCCATTTCGGCACACCCCTCACACGTTTCGTGGCCCCATAGGGAGCTCCACCGAAGGCCCCAGTGGCTGCGTTCGCATGCCTCCCCACCACCCATTTCGGCACACCCCTCACACGTTTCGTGGCCCCATAGGGAGCTCCACCGAAGGCCCCAGTGGCTGCGGCATGCGTTCGCATGCCTCCCCACCACCCATTTCGGCACACCCCTCACACGTTTCGTGGCCCCATAGGGAGCTCCACCGAAGGCCCCAGTGGCTGCCGCATGCCTCCCCACCACCCATTTCGGCACACCCCTCACACGTTTCGTGGCCCCATAGGGAGCTCCACCGAAGGCCCCAGTGGCTGCGTTCGCATGCCTCCCCACCACCCATTTCGGCACACCCCTCACACGTTTCGTGGCCCCATAGGGAGCTCCACCGAAGGCCCCAGTGGCTGCGTTCGCATGCCTCCCCACCACCCATTTCGGCACACCCCTCACACGTTTCGTGGCCCCATAGGGAGCTCCACCGAAGGCCCCAGTGGCTGCGTTCGCATGCCTCCCCACCACCCATTTCGGCACACCCCTCACACGTTTCGTGGCCCCATAGGGAGCTCCACCGAAGGCCCCAGTGGCTGCGTTCGCATGCCTCCCCACCACCCATTTCGGCACACCCCTCACACGTTTCGTGGCCCCATAGGGAGCTCCACCGAAGGCCCCAGTGGCTGCGTTCGCATGCCTCCCCACCACCCATTTCGGCACACCCCTCACACGTTTCGTGGCCCCATAGGGAGCTCCACCGAAGGCCCCAGTGGCTGCGTTCGCATGCCTCCCCACCACCCATTTCGGCACACCCCTCACACGTTTCGTGGCCCCATAGGGAGCTCCACCGAAGGCCCCAGTGGCAGCGTTCGCATGCCTCCCCACCACCCATTTCGGCACACCCCTCACACGTTTCGTGGCCCCATACCATAGGGACCACCAAGGGTGCTTTTCGCATGCCTCCACCCCCCACAGCTCCACCGAACAGTGGCCCGCATCACCCATTTCGCTTCGTGGCCCCATAGGGAGCTCCACCGAAGGCCCCAGTGGCAGGGTTCGCATGCCTCCCCACCACCCATCTCGGCACACCCCTCACACGTTTCGTGGCCCCATAGGCAGCTCCACCGAAGGCCCCAGTGGCTGCGTTCGCATGCCTCCCCACCACCCATTTCGGCACTCCCCAACACTCATTTCGGCACACCCCTCACACGTTTCGTGGCCTCATAGGGATCTCCACCGAAGGTCGGGGGGAGCTTGACAATGGTATCCTTGCGGTACTCGCAGCTGCATATGGTTGGGTCCTTCGCCAAGCTAATTACACACAGGATGCCCGGGAAATCTAGGGAAACGACTCTCGCTGAGGCGCCGGCGTCATTTTCGGGCCGAACGCCCCCCGCGTACTGTTTTTTACACACAGGATTCCCGGGAAACGGGTTTTCGCATGCGTTTTTTTTAATGATGCTCTCGCTGAGGCGCCGGCCTCATTTCTGCTCCCGAATCGTTCCGAATCGTGCTCCCGCTGCAGCGTGGGCCTCATTTTCGGATCGGTGTTTGGCCTCCGTCGTTCAGGATGGCGTTCTCGCCCCAGCGCGGGCCTCTTTCTCGCGCGCCCATCCGCCCGCCACCACCGCGCCGCACCACCACCACCACCACCACCACCACCACCACCACCACCACCACCACCACACCACCACCACCACCACCACCAGCACCACCACCAGCACCACCACCACCACCACCACACCACCACCAGCACCACCACCACCACCGCACGCACGCACGCACGCACGCACGTGCACCACCACCCACTACGCACGCGCGCGCGGAGCCACAGGTCCGCTACGACACGCGTCCGCGGATAGAGAAAATCAGCGCCATGGTAAGGGATGGGAGGGAGGGGTAGGACGTCAGATATGACGCGAGCGCACCTAGCTTGGAAGCTACCCCCTCCCTCCCCCGCTTTCCAAAGGGAGGGGGGGCTCAGCGAACCCCCCCCTTCCCGTTGACCCCCCTCTGCCGGCAGCTACCCCCCCCTTCCCCCCTTTGGTTCCAAAGGGGGTGGGGGGGGGGCTTAGCAGCCCCCCCCCCCTCCCCGCCTTTTGGCACCCGGGAAGCTCCCCCCCCCCCTCCCCCCCTTACGAAAGTGAGGGGGGCTGAGCTGCCTCCCCTCTCCCCTTGACCCACCTCTGCCGGAAGCGTGAATCGGAGAAACTACCGAATCATGTTCCCGGAGGCCCTCCCGGGAACATTAATTTTGAAACCAGTTCCTCGGACAGTGCGGTGACGTCTACCCGGCCGGGGAGTCAAAACTGTGTACATAACCTTTTCGCCCGGGGCGGAAATTCTGGCAATTATCATTATATATGGATGCGTCTTGCATGGATTGTACGTTCGACTTTCCGGTCGTTCGGCCCTCGGCCGGCGACCGTTTAGATTGCCACAGTGTCGCGCCTACATGCCTATATTGTGTTGCGTTCCGAGCCCAGTACCAGCCAGTTCTTTCAGATTCCATCTGCGGCGGCCGATACTTTGGGGCCGCCGCTGCATCGATAGGGGCCGGCACGCCAATTCAGCCATACACCGTGTC